GACTTTTACAGTCCTTGCCCAATGCATGATGTCTTAGGCCTTGTAAATTCCCTTTACTCTAGGCATGCTTGATTGCCACTATGAGATACCTCAGATACCTGGGAGTCTTTCTGAAAAGACAAAGTAGGTAAAATTATTATACCTAAAGTGTGTATTTCTCCAAAAGCACAGTTTCTACTTTCTCATCATCGTGTTAGGGTTTAAGAACAAGATGAAAAATGACTTCCCACTCTTGGTCTGTCCTTTCAGGAGTCTCACTTTGTTGCCCAGGCTGGAGTGCAGTAGCACGCTCGTGGTCACCGCAGCCTCAACCTGCTGGGATCCAGCCATCATTTTGCCTTAGCCTTTCAAGTAGTCAGAACTATATGCACATGCTACCACACCCAGCTAATTTTTTTATTTATTGTAGAGACGAGGTCTTACCATGTTGCCCAAGCTGGTCCCAAAGTACTGGGATTATACGCTTGATCCACTGCACCCAGCTGATTTTTAACATTTTAAATTGTGGTAAAATTGACCCCTTTAACCATTAAGAGTAAAGTAGCAGTGAGTACATTCACACTGTTGTGCAACCATGACCACCATCCATCCCCAGAACTTTTTTCAACTTCTCAAATGAAACTCTGTACCCCGCTGGACTCGGTGGCTCAGTCTGTAATCCTGCGCCTTTGGGAGGTTGAGGTGAGTGGATTGCCTGAGCCCGCGGGTTCGTGACCTGCCTGGGCAACTTGGTGAGACCTCATCTCTACAATAAATCAAAAATTAGCTGGGCGTGGTAGTGTGCGCCTGTAGTTCCGGCTACTCGGAAGGCTGAGGCAGAAGGATCGCCGGAGCTCGGCAGGTTGAGGCTGCGGTGGCCGAGAGAGGCCACTGCACTCCAGTCTGGGCGACAGAGTGAGATTCCAACTCAAAAAAAAAAAAGAAAGAAACTCTGTACCCGTTAGACAATAAATTCCTCATGCCCCTCTTCCCTCAACCTCTTGCAACTACCATTCTATCTGTCTCTATTAACTTAACTTGATTATTCTAGGTACCTCATATGGGTATTTATCATATTTATAAGGACATATCATACCATATTTGTCTTTTAAAAAAAAGAGAGAGACAGGGTCTTGCTTTGTTGCCCAGGCTGGTCTCCAAAGAACTCCTGGCCTCAAGCAATCCTTCTGCCTCAGTCTCCCAAAGTGCTGGGATTACAGGCTGAGACACCATACCTAGCTCAACACTTGTCCTTTTGTGCTTGGCTTATTTCATTTAGCACAATGTCCTCAAGGTTCATCCATGCTATAGCATGTGCCAAAACGGGTTCATGTGTCAGGCATCTATCCAGATGTGTCAGTTTACTGGAGGAACGAGAATTTATGGAGAAAGAGCCAATGGGATCAAGCCATGGTGGGCTGGTCAGCTGTGTGTGTGGGTGAGAATTCTAATTTCGGCTCTGTCTTATCTTTCTTGAGCCCTTAAAGCACATTATATATACATTATCTCATGGTATTATTATACTCATTCAACAGATGAGGAAAGCCAGTTCAGGGAAGCTGAGGATCAGAGTTCTTAAATGACTTGCCTAAAGTTGGAGAACTAATAAGTGGCAAAGCTACTCCTCCTGGGATTTTACTAACATGCCATACAGCAGATACAGGAAGATAATAAAAACAGAAGTGTTGGGTAAAGTCAGCAGCCAGCGCCAGAGCGGGGGCGAACCCAGCCTGGATCCCTTCCCGCACTGTTGCCTCCCACCGTCCGCACCCCGCCCGCGGCCGGACCCCGCCTTCTAGGCTGCGCGTAGCCCTCTCATTGGTCATCCGTCACAGGGCGCCACGCTCACACGAGGGGGAATAGCCAATCAGCGCGGTCTACCTCCGCCTAGCCAGCCTACGCGAGATGGTGTTGTCCGTCCCTCCCGCAGCACGCCGGGAGTTGTAGTCCAATGACATATTTCTGCCGACGACTAGGGGAGACCGAGAACTACTCCACCCAGAGGGCCGAGCGCCGAGCCGATTCAGTTTTTAGGAGTACCCGCCAATCAGCTGGACCAAGTCGGAACCGGCAGCCAGGAGCAGGTGAGTGACCGCGTGTTACGCTGAGAGGCAGGTCTCCAAGACCTGGCTCTCCCTCTGGAACGATACTGTGGGGCTTGGGAAGCCCAGCCTTTTGTGTCGGAGTTTCTGCTTTGAGGGTAGGTCGGCCCGACTGGCTGGCTCTCTAGTCGTGCGGAAACTTGCAAACTCTGCCCCTGCTCTTTCCTGCAACCCCCAGACGCCCGGACTCACGTGTACTCCTTCACTGCGAGCCCTCCCCTCCCACCCAGAGTTGCTCTGAGGCTGTCTCCTTAGTCCCGTGAGGTTCCCGACGCCCGGTCCCAACCCCAGGAAACACGGCCGCAGCCCCGATGGGTTTTGGTTTCATTACTTCTTTTCTTGGTGCGTAGCTCAGAGCCAGGGCCGCACTTCTCCACCGCCGGCTATGGAGGCCTGGCTTCTAGATTTGGCTCTTTCTTTACTCCAGTTGGCCTAATTCCTCAGTTTGGCCTCTGCAAAACTGATTTAGAAGTCCTTCCAGAGCCCAGTCTTGAGTACTTAATCAGTACCACCTGCTCCCTCAGCCTTGTGCACGCAGCCTTGAAGGCATTGAGTTCTAGCCTTATTTTAAGTGGGTCGCATTCTCTCGGTCAAGCTTTTTTCCCCTGCATATCTTCCTTTCTGTAATTGTCTCCAAGCTCAGTCCATGAGAGGGTGGGGCATTCTGGGCCAGGAGAGAGAAGGTTGGGGTGGGAGTTATCTGGAGAGCTGCCATCAAGCATCTGCCTTTGGTGCTTGCCCCCGCAGGGAGTGCTCGGTGCCCCCTCCCTATGCCACCCCCCACGATGCCCCTGTCCCGCTGGTTGAGATCTGTGGCGGTCTTCCTGCTGCCAGCCCCTTGCTGGGTGTCCCCGGAGAGGTGGCTGGGTTCCCTACAGCGGCATGGGTGCCCAGTCCCGGGGGCCTGGCACAGTGCCCGCCGCAGGTGCCAAGCGTGGACAGAGGAGCCTCGGTGAGTGTGGCTGGGTGAGGGGCCTTGGGGAGGGGAGCAACTGATCAGGTGTCTGACTTGTTTTTCCTCTCCTCAGAGCACTTTGCTCCTCCCTCAGAATGAATGGAAACCAGAAATCGGATGTTTATGCCCATGAAAGGCAGAATTTCATCCAGCATTTCTCCCAGATCGTCAGCGTGCTGACTGAGAGTGAGATGGGGCACCCAGAAACAGGAGATGCCATTGCCCGGCTCAAGGAGGTGAGGAACTCCTGACTCGAGGGAGGGAGCCTTGGGTCATTCTGCATATGCATGGGAGCCAGCTGTAGCTTTTGGCAGATGTTGGGGGAAGTGTTTTCCCGAGCAACTCTGAGTCTACTCTGGAGGGGGTGGGGCCTCAGCAGGTATACTTACTCAGTTCATTACTCTGACTTTTGGCTCTGATGTGTGGAGCATTCAAACTGCCTTGCCTGGGGGTCGAGGCCTTGAACCTGGAGTGGTTCTGTGTCCCTCGGGGGCCTGATGAAGTTACTGTATAATCAGGAATTATTGGCTAACTTGCTTACTTTCTTCCTTTTTATTATTTAGTAAAATTCTATTTGTAGATTCTGTTTATAAATGCCATCTGTTTCATCTATCTGTGAGAAACCAAGGGAAGGGGGACTTTGTCCACACTGGGATGGGGATTAAAAGGGAAGTCTTCCCAGTTAACAAAGTCTGGTTGTGAGAGCAGGGCAGCAGAAGGCAAAATGAGAGGCCCCAGCAAGAGGCAACACCACTGTAGGAATGGGTGGTGGATCCCACTGGGCAGGAGGAAGTGGTTGTGAAGGGGAAGTCCAGACGAGGTGGGGGTGGAGCTAGAGCCTGGGGAGGGACCTGGACAAGCCTGCCACTCCCAAAGCTTGTACTGAGTTTCCTCTGGGTTCAAGTTCTTTTCTGGGCTTACAAGCAGAATTTAATCTCTACTGTGGAGGCTTTAAATATTCTGGGAAGACCATGCAGAGAGAGTGTGCCTTGGCACTGGGGAAACACTTCTAACATTGCTCCAGAACTTTGATGGGGAAGCAAAGAGGGTAACAATTCAGAGGCTCCCTGGAGGAAGAGTTGGAGTTGGGGAAGATAAAATTAGGTGGTGGTTGGCAGTGAGAGAGGGCAAGGAGAAGTCTCCGTAGCTGCTGTGTGGCCCCTGATACCCTGTCCATCTCTGCTTCCCCCTAGGTTTTAGAGTATAATGCTGTTGGAGGCAAGTACCACCGGGGCTTGACAGTGCTGATCGCATTCCGGGAGCTGATGGAGCCGAAGAAACAGGATGCTGATAGTCTCCAGCGGGCTCTGACTGTGGGCTGGTGTGTGGAACTGGTGAGAGGGCTGGGGAAAGGCAGAAGAGGCTTCCTGGGAAGGGCAGGGCTGGGACTGAAACTTGTTTCTGGGTTGTGCTTGTGTCTCTGTACCTCTGGTGTGCTACAGTCAAATTTAGACACACTTACTCCAGGGGTTCACAGATGTGGGGAACCTTTTTTACCATGAGGTACGTAGATAACTGTAGATAGCTATGGACAGGGTCTTGGAACTGGGCAGTGTCAGCTCTTTCCTCTGAGTAAGCAGAGGACAGCCATAAAAGTGACATAGTTCTTCCAAAGTTTATTGTAAAGCAGAGATTGAAAACTGACAGCCCACTGACAATTTTTGAAAATGTTTTAAAACCCAGCCGGGCTCGGTGGCTCAGCCTGTAATCCTGCGCCTTTGGGAGGCTGAGGTGAGTGGATTGCCTGAACCCGCTGGTTCGAGACCCGCCTGGGCAGCGAGACTTCATCTCTACAATAAATAAAAAAATCAGCCAGGCGTGGTAGCGCATGCCTATAATTCCGGCTATTCAGAAGGCTGAGGCGAAAGGATCACCGGAGCCCAGCAGGCAAGGCTGCGGTGGCCGGGAGCGGCCACTGCACTCCAGTCTGGGCGACCAAGTGAGACTCCAACTCAAAAAAAAAAAAAAACAAAAAAAACTAAGTCCCCTAAATTTAACAAAAAGAGATTTCAAGCCGGGCTCGGTGGCTTAGCCTGTAATCCCACGCCTTTGGGTGGCTGAGGTGAGTGGATTGCCTGAGCCTGCGGGTTCGAGACTCGCCTGGGCAACTTGGCGAGACCTCATCGCTACAATAAATCAAAAAATTAGCCGGTCATGGTAATGCGCGCCTGTAGTTCCAGCTACTTGGAAGGCTGAGGCGGAAGGATCGCTGGAGCCCAACAGGTCGAGGCTGCGGTGACTGGGAGCGGCCACTGCACTCCAGTCTGGGCGACAGAGTGAGACTCCAACTCAAAAAAAAAAAAAAAAAAAAAAGAGAAAGATTTCATACAAAAACTTTAGCCAGGTTCCTGGCCTGAGGACAGGAGTGGCTTGCCGCCAAGCCCAGTCAGCTTGTTCTTGGCATATGTGGGGCAAGTGGATCCACCTGTCCTGTATGCGGGGACATTGCAGTCTGGAACCTGTCAGTGTGATGTGGCTGGAGATGGGGATTTGCCTTCCAGGAGGTAATGGGATAATGACATCGCTGAGGGAGAGGGCCCTGGGTGACAGAGATGCCCCAGGGCATCAGGAGGAGCTGAGGGGTCCACATGGGACAGACGTGCAGGGGAGGGCAGAGCGGGGAAGCAGAGCTTCGGACCACGGCAGGAAGAACTCAGGGTTTGCCAGTTGGCCCTGGCTGCACCCTAGATTCACCTGGGTGTTTTTTTTTCTTTCTTTCTTTTTTTGAGTTGGAGTCTCACTCTGTTGCCCTGACTGGAGTGCAGTGGCCGCTCCCGGCCACCGCAGTTTC